TGCTCTCATCCCCCTGTTGTCTGTGTCCATTGGTTAGGCTTATATGCATGCATACAAGTCCTTTGGTTTATCTCTCCCCCTTACCCCCACCCTCCCCTACCTTCCCTCTGAGGTTTGACGGTCTGATCGATGCTTCTCTGTCTCTGCATCTGTTTTTGTTTATCAGTTTTTGTTGTTCATTATAAAACTCAACAATAAGAATATAAACAAGAACATAGCGAGAGAACCTGGCTGAAGAACCTAGAGACAGAACCTAGGGACAGAACCTAGAGACAGAACCTAGACTGGAGAGAGAACCTAGCGAGAGAACATGGCAAAAGATCCTGGAGAGAACCTTGCTACAGAACTTTGCTGAAGATCCTGGCCAGAACTTAGCTGGAGATCCTGACCAGAACATGGCTACAGAACTTGGCTGGAGAACCTAGACAGAACCTGGATAGAACCTGGCTGGAACCTGGCTACAGAACCTGGCGACTGAACCTGGGTGGAGAAACTTGACAGAACATGGCAGGAGAACCTAGCGAGAGAAACATGGCTACAGAATCTGGCGGGAGAACCTTGCTATGCTGATCAACTGAACGCTGCCTCCATGTCATTCCTTCTTCGCCGACTCCGTCCACACCTTTGGGGACCCCTGGACCTGCTGGGGTTGGACCCCAGCACCCATTGATGTTTAGAGAGAGTGGGGGAGAGAGGGAAAGACAGAAATATAGATGGGAGAGAAACACATCAGTTGGTTGCCTCCTGCCCAAGCCCAGACCAGGGCCAGGCTGGGTAGGAGCCAGCAACTGAGGTAGAAATAAACCTTAGACCAGTGGTCTCAACCTTCCTAATGCCGCAACCCTTTAATACAGTTCCTGATGTTGTAGTGACCCCCAATTTCATTGTTACAAATTGAACATAATTAAAGCATAGTAATTAATCACACACAAAAAAAAGAATATAAACAATCTGATTTAAAGATGGGCCAAAGACCTAACAGATACCACACCAAAGAAGATACACAGATGGAAAATAAACATATGAGAAAATGCTCTACATATCATCAGGGAAATGCTAATTACAACAACAAAGAAATACCACTATACATTTATTAGAATGTCCAAAATCCAGAACACTTGACAACACCAAATGCTGGTAAGGATGTGGAATAACTGTACTTTCATTTGTTGCTGGTGGGAATGCAAAATATACAGCCACTTTGAAAGACAGGCTGGTGGTTTCATACAAAAGTAAATATACTCTTACTATATAGTCCAACAGCCATGCTTCTATCTATCCAAAGAAGTTAAAAACTTAAGTCCACATAAAAACCTGCATGCAGATGTTTATATTCACTTTGTTCATAATTGCCAAAACTTGGATGTCAAGACGCACTTCAGTAATTAATGGATAAATAAATACCCATTCATTTGTATAATACATCCAGAAAATGGAATATTTGTTACTTAGTTCTAAAAAGAAATGAGTTTTCAAGCCGTGGAAAGACATAGAAGAAACTTAATTGCATATCACTAAATGAAAGAAGCCAATTTGAAAAGGCTAATATACTGTATGATTTGAATTATATGACATTCTGGAAAAGGCAAAAGTATGGAAACAATAATAGAAAGATCAGTGGTAACTAGGGGTTGGAGGGAGACAGAGCAGAGAGGATTTTTAGAGCAGTGAACCTACTCCATATGATGCTATAATAGTGGATACATGCCATACATTTGTCTAAACCCGTAGAATATACAATACCAAGAATGAACCCTAATGTAAAGCGTGGACTTTCAATGATAATGCTGTATTAATGTAGGTTCATCATTTCTAACTAATGGTAGATGGTGATAACTTGTGGAGGGAGGTTTTGTGGGCTGAAATAGTATCTGAGAAATCTATCTTCTGCTCAAGTTTGCTATGAACTTAAAACTGCTTTAAAAATAGTCTACAAAGAAAGAGGTTTCTAAAAGAGAAGCATGTCCAAACATAATGCCATCTTGGTTGATAATTGAGAGATGATTATGACATAGCTATATGAAATTAAAAAAAAAAGAGGAATAAAGTTCCGGGCCAAGGGAATAATTTAGTGCAAAAACCAAGAGGCAAAAGATAGCAAGACATGTTGCTATTTTTAGTCAGCCAACAGCTACTTAATTGTGTGTTTTGTGCTACCCACATAGAACTTGAGGGTCATTCCTCAAGGCAAGGATCATTCCAGGAAGGGGTTTCTAAGATGTGGTAAGGCTGCTGGAGTATAACTGAAGAGGTTTAGGCATAACTTGAAATGTGGCAAATGGATTTTAGGGGGTCAAGACTGAAACAGAGATGCCAATCTGAGGTTTCAGTAATCCTAATGAAGATGGTGGTGTCAGACTAACAAATAGTGCTACCAGGATGGAAGAAGTGGAAACATTTGAAGTATCTTGTGGAAATTTAATTAATAGAATTGCTCATATATTGGATGGTAAGAGGTGAATGAAGGAATCCAAGATAACTTGATTTCTAGCTTTCATAGCTGGATGGCTTATAGTATAAATATAGTTTACTTAGAATAACACAGAAAGAGGAGCATGGCTTGGGTGAGAGAGGTTTTCACTTTGGGTTACACTGAATTTATGGCACCTGTGTAATGTCCAAGTGGAATCATTGAATAGGCATCTTGGAATTTGGGTCTCCAGCTCTCCAAAGATATAGCTAGAGTGGAGATTTAGAGTTATCTGCTTGTATATGGTAAGTGGTAAGTAAGGACACAGATGTGATGCGCAGGAAGAGTCTGCAGAGTGAGAAAAAAACCTGGGGATCAGCTTTACTGCTCTTTCTGTGGGGAATCCCTTCCCCACATCTTCATGTGATTGGTTGTTTACTGTCATTCATAAATCAGCTAAAATGTCACCTCTCAGAAAGGCTCCCCTTACCATCTTATTGAGTTAGCACACATTCATCACATGACTCTCTTTTGACATTTTAATAATATCATCTCATTATTTTATGTCTATCTTCCTCACTAAAATGTACTTTCCTTAAGAACTCGTGTCTTATTTGTGGATATCTCCCTGGTATCTGAAATAATGCCTAGCACATGGTTCACAATCACAAATATTTATTGAAGGAATGAAAAAAAGAATGATGAGTATAATGTTTGAGGAGGAATGAATAGTCCAAAAGACAATAGTTAAGTTAGGATTAAAGGAGCCACTGTATAATAGGTCATTTCATCCTGACTTATACTGGTGAGTACCTATGTGCTAAAGATTCTGGGTACAGACCCAGGCCCTGCTCTAATGGAGCTTGGAGTCTAGTGAGAACAACAATCCTTCATTAAGTACTTATCTATACTAATAAAAGGATAATATGCTAATTAGACCAGATAGACCAGACGTCTCCCAGACATCCTTCCAGATGTCCTTCTGGACAAAGCTGCAGTGGCTGCAAGGGCGGAGGAGGGCTGGCAGCCATGGTGGCCGGCAGTGGCAGCAACAGCGGGGTGATGGGGACGGTGCCTTCCCCTGATCAGCCTGGTCGCCTCCCCCAGAGGGAGGCCAGAGGCAGCAGCAGCGGCAGGGTGATGGGGGTGGCGCCTTCCCCTGATTGGCCCAGTCGCCTCCTGCAGAAGGAGGCCAGACTGTGGCTTAGGCCCACTCTCTGGGGGGAGCGGGCCTAAGCCGTCAGTAGGACATCCCCTGAGGGCTCCCAGACTGTGAGAGGGAGCAGACTGAGGGACCCCCCCCCCAAATGCATGAATTTTCATGCACCGGACCTCTAGTTGATGTAATAAAAGGACAAGTAAATGGTTCTATGGGAACAGATAAATGAAGAAAGTAACTTTTGAGAAAGTGGTGATTTGAGTATTGGGGTCAGAGCTAGTATAGACATCTAGTATATACAACTGTAAGAAGTTTGGCCAAGAAGGGGAAACTCATAGGGTAGTTACTAAAGGTAGATATAGTTTTTAATTTGGTGAGGAAGGGTGTGTGGCATATCCTTTTAGAAGAAAAGACTTAAGTATTTTTAAATGCTAGTGGAAAAAAAGCCAATGTGGCAGGTGAGCCTGAAGTACAGGGACTGGCCTTTCATTTAAGTTTTTTTTTAACATATTTTATTGATTTTTTACAGAGAGGAAGAGAGAGGGATAGAGAGTTAGAAACATCAATGAGAGAGAAACATCGATCAGCTGCCTCCTGCACACCTCCCACTGGGGATGTGCCCGCAACCAAGGTACATGCCCTTGACCGGAATCGAACCCAGGACCTTTCAGTCCGCAGGCTGACGCTCCATCCACTGAGCCAAACCGGCTAGGGCTCATTTAAGTTTTAGCAGGATTCAGAGGGTTTTTGTTTTGTTTTGTTTTATGGTGCCTTACATTCTCAATGAAGAAGGCAGGGCTATTTACTGAGAATGAAGCAAATTTGGAGAGGGGGGTATTATATTTGAGAAGCTAAGAGAATATTGAAAATAGCCAAACCAACAGTCCACAGCACAAAAAAATATGAGCATTTACTTTAAGACATTTACTTATATTACTTTAGTGAAAATAATCTCTTCACTGAGCACCAATCTCTCCCCATTGCTACTCCAGATTATAGGTACTTTCTTAGGTTCTCAAAGCACCTTCAATTTTCCCCTGGTTTATACTTCCCATACCATAGTGTTAGTGCCCGTTTATTTGTAGTGTATAATACACTATTTTGTGGCCATTTCCGGAGTTCCTGTTATAATACAAATCATATGTTTACTATTTGTACTGAATTCAAATACCAGTTCTCCCAACTGTTAGATGCTAGGCATGTAACATAATCTTCCTCTCACATTGTTTCACATTGCAGAATAGTGTAACACCTAAGAAAGAAGCCCAGTTTCTCTAAAGGTTGGAAATAATCTATACCACATTTATTACAACTGCTGTAATATAGGCTCTTAGTAACTGTAAGGGTTTTGTTTTGTTTTGTTTTGTTTTGTTATTACATATAATAGGTATTTAGAATTTTCTGACTTTCACCTTTACTTTGGTTCATATCCTTTCAATTTAGACCTTTCACTTTCATGAATTTGAATTGGGAGTTCCAGATCAAAAGATATATTTAGATAGTTGGGATGTAGGTACAATAGTTACACGTTGCTCTGTTTATCTGATTCCTATTCATTGGTGCTTACTAATTGCTAAGCATAGCTTAGATTCTTTGCACATGCTTGTATTTCATTGGCCTGGACATAGAGCATTTTCCTTAATTTTTTCTAATAGTTTAAAATGAAACCTATAAAAACACTTTCTCTTGGTTGTTAGAATATGTCTTTAATTTGTCCTTGTGGGAATGAAGATAAAATTATTTAAGTGGAAATTGTTATAAATGTTTATCCTATTTAACAGCTACACTCTTGAATATAATTCATCAATCATAGCTGGAGAAAGCAATTGTGCAGTTGTCTATAATTAACAGAACAAAACCAGTTGATGAATGTGCAGCTGAATTAAAGTACTCCCTAGGACA